GGATTTGTTTGCCGCAACAAGGACCAGAGAAAGGGCATGTGCCGTGACTACAAAATTCGCTTTGGGTGCCTGTGCAAGAAATAAGCTGCGACTCCACAGCAAACATCCAACAAGAATATGAAGCTTCGATTGCTTTAAATGTTGTCCTTTTCTCTTTACCTTTCTATTTGATATCTTACTTTGCCTGATGGAAGAAGTTCAATAGACCTTTTTTACGGCAGACATGTTGACTTGTAGCAGTAACAGGACCATGAAGCCTTATCAGCTGATTAAAACTGAGCTTTATATCGGAGTATGTTTTACGCCTGTACGTTTACCAACATGTGTTCTGAGTTCAAATGCCTCATGCCATGTGCTTTATCAATTTTCTTTTCTTTTTCTAGTGATTATGAAATCATTGTCTTGTAATGTAGGAAATAAATCCACATCAAACAGCAATAAAACTGCTACTAATGAGCAAATCCATTTTGTCATTAAGTTATTGCTCATAACCACTCTGCCTAAGATTGTCTTCACATGCTTACATGAAGTTGTAATTTGGAGTGAATAATGCAGAATTTTGTGTTTTCAACATATGGTGGGAACTGATATGATATGATATGAGGTACTCAATAGCATGTTAGCAGCAATATGGGAATGTTTAAAAAAGCAGTGAATCTGAATTTAATATTAAAATACACGCATGCACTAACAAGCAACCAGGCACACATGGTTTCCCAACCTATAGCTTCCTGTATCAAAAAATAGTTTTTCGGAATTCGGGTGTTTTGTTTGATTTTTAATGAACACAGTCTTGGCTTTCAGAATATGAAAAATATTATTTCCAAAATCTCACGATAAATACATTTTTAAACTTGTGAAGGGAAGATGGCACATCTCACTCACTCTGCTCTTCCGCAGCGCTGCTCCCCCTCCCTCCGGCTGAAATTATGAATGTAAGGCGTATAGTAATCATAGATAACACAGCAGGGTCCGTGACAGTTTGTTTTCATCTAATTTCAAATAAACAAAGTCTTGGCTTTCAGAATATTAAACTTGTTTTGGCAAATTCAGATGATAAATACAACTTTGAAGCTTGTGACGGCATAATTACAAGCGGAGAACGGAGTAACTTAACGTCACAGCAGGCATAACAACAGCCGGTGTTTCTCCTGAGTGTTTTCCCCGGGAAACAAACACAATACACAGAAATGCAAAAATACACAAACACACACACATACATACACACACACTAGCGAGCTTCCCCCAGACCAGTAATCCAGTGTGACACATGGCCAAGACGCAGGAGAACTCGCCGATGCAACAGTCGATGTCGGTGTCGGCGAGTTCTCTGGTGACTGCCTGGTGTGTCAGGGCCTTTAAAGGCAGCTCATTGTGGATTAGCCTCCCAACTGAGATACGGGATTATCCCACTCTCAATAGTTTTAAAGGACAACTCAAAGAATGGTTGAGCAACAAACAGACGTGTAATCACCGCTAAATGCACTTTTATACAGGGGTATCTACTCTTGCACTTTATGTAGCACTTTTATCTTATCTTGCACTTTATATATCATAGCTGCTACATTGTACTGCCATGTATGCTGCTCATGCTCTTCCTGCATATCATGTATTTATTTTTGCTATGTATATAAATGTCATGTTCTTATATGTTGTATAACGGGACTAAGGATGGAAATAAACTCAAAGCTAAAATCCGGCTCATTTACACTTGTAAGCATTATTTTTGTTTTAAAGTGTTCATCAATGTGCACTGTCCCGGTTCAAATAAACGATTAAATGAAATTCAAATCAGTTTGTTCAGGAGAATCAATTTAAATAAAAGTGCTTATAGTTTGTGGAGGAAAATGTCCTAACCTGCTCTGCAGCATACTTTTTTGACCCCACTAACCTGAACTCTGACTGGTTCAGCAGCATTTTCTATCTTCTGTGCTCAAATAATTTTTGACGAGCGGCCTCCCAGGTTTGACTGGAAAGATGGGTTTTCATATGGCAAGCTGATTCAGCTTTGATTAATTTCTGGAGGATATCAAAAAATCAATACTAGTAATAATGTTTATTTCTGGTATCAAAAATAGAATTTTACCTGGTTAAAATGCAAATTCTTTCTTATCACAAATTCAATTGTAACTAGTTGTAATGTGTATTTCTGATATCAGAAATGGGATTTTAACTAATGAGATTTGCATCATTTTTCTCATTCATTTCAATGGGAGTTGGAATTTGAACTAGTTCAAATGCCAATTTCTGATATCAGTAATTCAATAGTTGATATCAGAAATACAATTTGAACTAGTAATAATCATTTTTTGATATCAGGAATTCAATTGTTAATAGTTATAATTTCATTTTTATTTATAACTAGTTACAATTGAATTCTTGATATCAGAAATGTGTATTTGTACTAGTTCAAATGTAATTGTAACTAGTAACAAATGAATTACTGATATCAGAAATTGGCATTTGAACTAGTTCAAATTCCAACTCCCATTGAAATGAATGAGAAAAACGATGCAAATCTCACTAGTTAAAATCGCATTTCTGATATCAGAAATACGCATTACAACTAGTTACAATTGAATTTGTGATATCAAGAATTTGCATTCTAAATAGTTAAAATTCTATTTTTGATATCAGAAATAAACATTATTACTAGTAAGAATTGATTTTTTGATATCCTCCAGAAATGAATAAAAGCTAAATCGGCTTGCCATAGGGGGAACGGAAAGCATTTCCCGGCATCAGTAAGAGTTCTATGAACGCGTTGAGCAGCATTTCCCCTCCTTCCTGACAGTAAATGTTTTAACCTGTTATGGCTATTACATTTTTAAGAGTATACATAGGTAGTATGTAAATAATTGTTCAGGAGATAATCCTGTTTCCCCGTAAGGTAGATTCAAGATTCAAGATTCAAGGCTTTATTGTCATGTGCACAGTAGCTACAGTGGCAATGAAAAATGTATGTCAGGCTCCTCCAACAGGGCAACATGAATATAGGACATAAAACACATAAAATAGTGCAAGAGAATGTTTTGAAATATGCAAGTAAATACAAATAAAATAGAATAGAAGTAGAAAACTAAGCATGAAACTTAGGATGGACCTTTTCTATTGAAATAAAAGTGCTTATAGTTTAACGCTTGTCAGAGCTTCTACCTTACCTGATGTTTTCCTTATTGCATTAAAGGATAGTTATTGAAAACTCCTTCACATCTGAGCTCAATGTCTCTAAAAGTCCCATTTAAACTTATTTGATTGGTTACTCATTATTTTGAATCCTTCATCCATTTAACACGTTACCACTTTCCAACAATTTAAATGACTTAAGCTGCTTTTATCTGTATTTCCTACTTATGTTTAATAATTGATATTCTGTAATATGAAGTTTCCCCATCAGGCCGCTGCTTTAAGAGAAAAAGTTCTCACTGAACCTGCCTGACTAGAGAAGTGAAGTAATGGTAACTGGAAGCAGAAATGTATGGAGGGAAAGTTTCCTAACCTGCTCTGCAGCGTACTTGTTTGACCCCACTAACCTGAACTCTGACTGGTTCAGCAGCATTTTCTATCTTCTGTGCTCAAAGTATTTTTGATGAGCGGCCTCCCAGGTTTGACTGGAAAGATGGGCTTTAAGAGGTTGTTTTGTACAAAATCAAGACCTTTGATCCAACTCTTAATTGGAACACCTTTTCTGGAATAACAAGTAAGCAGCAAGTAGCATTTCCTGGCATCAGTAAGAGTTCTAGATGAACACGTTAATAATTAATGATTAATGATCTGAACACACTTTCATTTTCACATCTTTCAAATATTAGGAGTTTTATATACATTTCAAACATGATGGGTATTTGAACTTTTGATCGACATTCATGTCATTCAGTGTTGTGTGAGCACCGCTGACCTCAAGTTGCCCCTTTTTCTCTGGCTAATCAATAGACCTTTGATCACAATCTTAATTGGAACAACTATTCTAAAATACTAAAGTAGTAAAAAGGGGTGTAGCAGCGGATAATGCATCCATCATTTGTGTAACCCAACCCCAACATTAAACTGAATGTGTAACTTCACTGTTACTGATGCATGAAAATACTGAATTTCTCCACGGGGATTAATAAAGGTCCAACTTATCTTATCTTAAATATTGTATAAATGAAATAAGTATATAATTTCCTGTCAGGTTCTCGAATAACAGTAACATAGCAAAATACAGAGAACAAAAAAGTAAGATGAACCCAACCTGAGTTTTCCCCTAAATAAGACACAAAGCAGGTGTACATGCATCCTCTTGGATTTACGTGTGAAACAGGTCCATTATATATAGGAGCTTTCAAAGTTACCACAGAAGAATGGTAGAGTTGAACACCTTATCTCCAATTATTGTATTCTCATTCAACCCCCATAGAATTTTAGAATTATTGTGCAAGGCGTATCTCGTTCAGTTTTTTTGAAAACTGCATTCTTGTTTTGAAACAAAACTGGTGATTCCAGTGGGGGGGGTATTTACTCCCCCAGCTGTATTTAAGGAGACAGGAGAGCACTTCATGAACCAAACTGTTCCACTGAGAGGTCCTGCTGGTGAGTCTCTTTTGTTTTTGCTGAGAAATTTAACATGCAACTATTTCTTTTTAATTCACTTTTTTTGAACTATTGATTTTAAAATAATGTGATTTTGTTGAATGTATGCTTAGATTGTAAATGTATTTAGTGTAAATGCTGAAATGCATTGGTATGCTTTTTGTTATAGCTTTCAACCTTTACACACATTTTCAGCATTAGTTAAAAGTCGTTTTTGTTACGGTTTTGTATTTATGTTTTCATTTTCCACCTTTGTTTTGAAATGTTTTCCTCCTTGTGTCTTCTCTGTTCCATCTTCCTGTGTTTGCCTTCCTGTCGTTAGTATCCCTGGTGTGTCTGATTGTGTTCACCTGTTGCCATTGTGTTTCTGCCTCCCTTACCCCAGCTGTGTCTTGTCTTGTGATTACCCCTCTCTGTATTTAGTCTTGTCTTCCCCTGTGTGCCTTGTCGGTTCATTGTTGGTTTTTCCTGTCTCCCTCCATGTCAGTCACGGTCAGTTTTGTTTGTATTCGCTACCTTGTGCTATCTATGTTTTTTCATGCCTTGTTTTTGTGCTCATCGGCTTTGGAATAAAGCTCGCCTTTTGTTTATAGACCTTTTTCCTTTTTGAAGTCTGCATTTGGGTCCTACCCTTTCCACGCTACCTAACAGTTTTCTTGTTAAAACTGAAATAAAATAGAAAGTTCATCTCACATTCTTTTTATTTCAAGTAACTCCATTTATTTTGATAATGCTCATGTTGATTTAAATTCCTTATTCCAAACTTCCCTTACAGTTTTAAAGGTCCCTGATCCTCTGCAACCATGATCAAATTGGTAATGTTTGATTTTGGATTATATTTCCTTTCATTCTATGTAGATTTACAAGTTCTGCATATACAGTATGTCATAATAAACTTTACATTTTGTATTTTCTCCGATAGTTAAGTGTTGCCATTTTTGCCACATTGTTCTTGGGTAGGTTGATTATAACAATTAGATGATCATATTTGTATTTCACCGGGAATATACAAAGTCACAGTTTGTAACATTTGTCTCTTAACCTTTACCAGAAAGCCACCAGGGGGTTCCCGATCCAGAGATTATGCCCGCTCCACAAGATCCAGTGGTGAACCCAAGTAAGTAATTGTTTAAACCATTCAGTGGCTCCCTTTGTTAAGAGACATTTCTGACACTCATAATTATGTTTATTTTGTATTCTATTTAGAACTTCCCTGCGACTATCCCACCCACATTCTTAAGCAAATCATACCTATTGACACTTCACAAATCCCAACATGTGCTATTTCAGTAATGTTTTAAATGTATTGTTGCTTACCTATCATTTGAAATGCCCATGTCCAGAATGCTGGACTGACTGGTTTGACAGAGATGACCCCAGTGGATCTGGAGACTGGGAAACCTTCAACAGACTTTATAAGGATAACCCTGGAAAGATCTGCCCCAAACCACAGGGTATAGATGTCACGACTCTCTCTGGACTCGGTGTGATCGAAACAGAGGAGGTGATTTATAAGTAAGTGCTCAACAAGTAGGAGTAATTTGAATGTTTGATGTGATGGTTAATACTGTATTCTACTGAATGTGTTGCTACTGCATATGTTTGTGTACCTGGTGACACCAAATTATATTTCAACATACTAGTTTGCTCTATTGACTAGCCATATACCTGGTAACCAATGAGCAATGGGAATTAGTAGAGGGGGTTCAGTCAGTTGCCAGTCACAATTGTACAGTACTGGGTATATTTTAAATCAATTATCTTTCTCACAAGCCTTCAGTGTTTTGTACTACACACTAGTTGAGCAAAACTCTGGCTTTGTGAGGGTGTACTTAGGAACAGTGTTGAATTGATTTAAATGTTAATGTTGGCTTGCCAAAGTGATTACACTTATTCCTGCGGGGGACAAGAATGTGTTTACTGAATGAAATTGCTATCCATCCAATCTGTTAAAACGCTCAAAACCGCTCTTGTCAACTTCCTGTTGGCACTGGAGGAAAAGCCTAAAAAATAAGGAAGCATTTATCCTTCAGGGAACAGGAATGTCTGTACAGAATCCCCATGGCACCCTATCAACATTTTTTGGGAGATATTTCCATCTGGACTAAACTTTTTAATTTCAGAAATGACGTCACTTCAGGATTCGTCTGCAGAAACCGTGATCAACCCAGAAGGCAGAGGTGCAGTGACTACCGTGTTCGTTTCAGCTGCCATCCCCCTTTCTGTGGTGGAGGAGGTAAGAGCACACCACACTGTATAAGCACTCTCTTGTATAAACATTCATTTAGGAGAGTTTTACAGCTTCCTACCCAGTCGTCCTCTCACTCTTTTATTGCTCCTTGCAGTGTGCTGGACCGACTGGTTTGACCGTGACGATCCCAGTTACACAGGGGACTGGGAGCTTTTGAGTTACCTGAGGAAAGACAACCCAGGAAAGATCTGTGAATACCCTCTGTACATTGAGGTCGTTACCACGGACACGATAACCCCAGCCACCTCCACAGGGGAGAACTTCTATATGTAAGTTGCCTCATTGAAATAATGCAAATGATTATTTAACCACATCCCAGGAATACATCGGTACTTCTGAACATTAAAAACTGCTTACAAGTCACCCACATGTGCTGCCTGGAGCTACACCTATACAGTGAATAGAAACTCTGTACATGGACATTTAATTGACATTAGAAGACATGTCATTGTATTGGATATCGAGATATTTAATATTACAAACAAAGTTCCACCTAATGTTTCTTTTATTATCTTTTATTTTTAATGACTGATTTTTAAATGCCATTTTCTTAATGTCTTCCATTTTTGTAAAGCACTTTGAATTGCCTTGTGTTGAAAGGTGCTATATAAATAAACTTGCCTGCCTGACAACAAGAACAAATATGATAATTGAAAGGGTTGTAGAGGTTTATTTGAACTAGCATCAATGTACTTTAACAAACTACATTGGGTTTATATCAGAGCTAAACATGAATTATGGTTTAAGCAACATATGCAATTTAAAATATGTTTTTGTTTGCTTTTAAAATTGGTTTTCTTCATATAACTATCGAACTGATTCATTTAATAATTGGTATTGTTTTTCAGCTTCAATCCGACTCAGGGATTTGTTTGCCGCAACAAGGACCAGAGAAAGGGCATGTGCCGTGACTACAAAATTCGCTTTGGGTGCCCGTGCAAGAAATAAGCTGCGACTCCACAGCAAACATCCAACAAGAATATGAAGCTTCGATTGCTTTAAATGTTGTCCTTTTCTCTTTACCTTTCTATTTGATATCTTACTTTGCCTGATGGAAGAAGTTCAATAGACCTTTTTTACGGCAGACATGTTGACTTGTAGCAGTAACAGGACCATGAAGCCTTATCAGCTGATTAAAACTGAGCTTTATATCGGAGTATGTTTTACGCCTGTACGTTTACCAACATGTCTTCTGAGTTCAAATGCCTCATGCCATGTGCTTTATCAATTTTCTTTTCTTTTTCTAGTGATTATGAAATCATTGTCTTGTAATGTAGGAAATAAATCCACATCAAACTGCTAATAATGAGCAAATCCCTTTTGTCATTAAGTTATTGCTCATAACCACTCTGCCTAAGATTGTCTTCACATGCTTACATGAAGTTGTAATTTGGAGTGAATAATGTAGAATTTTGTGTTTTCAACATATGGTGAGAACTGATATGATATGCAGACAGTAGGAGGAGCTCAATAGCATGTTAGCAGCAATATGGGAATGTTTAAAAAAGCAGTGAATCTGAATTTAATATTAAAATACACGCATGCACTAGCAAGCAATCAGGCACACATGGTTTCCCAACCTATAGCTTCCTGTATCAAAAAATAGTTTTTCGGAGTTCGGGTGTTTTGTTTGATTTTAAATTAACAAGGTCTTGGCTTTCAGAATATGAAACTTTTATTTCCAAAATCACATGATAAATACATTTTTGAAGCTTGTAAAGGGAAGATGACAGCTCTCACTCGCACTCTGCTCTTCCGCAGCGCCGCTCCCCCTCCCTCCGGCTGAAATTATGAATGTAAGGCGTATAGTAATCATAGATAACACGACAGGGTCCATTAGTTTGTTTTAATCTGATTTCAAATAAAGTCTTGGCTTTCAGAATATTAAACTTGTTTCGGCAAATTCAGATGATAAATACAACTTTGAAGCTTGTGACTGCATAATTACAAGCGGAGAGTGTTTTCCCCAGGAAACAAACACAATACACACAAATGCAAAAATACACAAACACACACACATCCACACACAAGCGAGCTTCCCCCAGACCAGTAATCCAAACGAAAATATTTTCCCTCCGTACTACTTTAATTTGCTCCGCTAATAATCAATCAGATCGATGGATTGAAGAGAAGAGGAAACTTTGAAGGCCTTTTTCTCAAAATTATTACTCGGTGACATTCATTATATAATGTGACATATTTTGCTTAATATTTGGAGTACAACAACAATCCTGATGTCATTAGAAAGCTAGGAATCTCCTCTTTCTAACAGTGTATACAACTCAAAATGTGTCTTCAGGTTAATGTGACTGATTTTGATAGAGCAGGTCACATATTACGGTAAAAAAGTTTGGCAAATCTTAAATAAACTATTAGGTAAACATACCAAACAGGAAAATAATGTACTAGAATTAAAAATCAATGATGCCCTGATAAAAGACCCTGCAGTGTTGGCCAACTCTCTAAATGAGTATTTCATAAATAGTGCTCTGGCCATTACAAAGCTCTTCCCGCCATCTGAGGTCTCACCTAGCCCCTCTGACTGTCGCATTCAGCAGCATTTTTTATCTTCTGTGCTCAAAGTATTTTTGACGAGCGGCCTCCCAGGTTTGACTGGAAAGATGGGCTTTCAGAGGTTGTTTTGTACAAAATCAAGTTTCAAGCAAGCTAGATATATCAAGTAAATGTGAAAGATGTTATTGTTGTGTTCATATTGAGGTTACGCTGACCTGAAGTTGACCCTTTTTCTCTGGCTAATCAACAGACCTTTGATCAAAATCTTGATTGGAACACCTGGAATAGGGGGGAACGGAAAGTAGCATTTCCCGGCATCAGTAAGAGTTCTAGATGAACGCGTTGAGCAGCATTTCCCCTCCTTCCTTACCGTACATGTTTTAACCTGTTATGGCTATTATATTTTTAAAGAGTATACATAGGTAGTATGCAAATCATTGTTCAGGAGATCATCCTGTTTCCCCCGTAAGGTAGATTCAAGTTTCAAGGCTTTATTGTCATGTGCACAGTAGCTACAGTGTAGATATGGCAATGAACAATTTAAGTCAGGCTCCTCCAACAGAGCAACATGAATCTATATAGGACATAAAACAAATAAAATAGTGCAAGAGAATGTTTTGAAATATGCAAGTAAATAAAAATAAAATAGAATAGAAGTAGAAAACTAAGCAAGAAACTTAGGATGGACCTTTTCTATTGAAATAAAAGTGCTTATAGTTTAACGCTTGTCAGAGCTTCTACCTTACCTGATGTTTTCCTTATTCCATTAAAGGATAGTTAATGAAAACTCCTTCAAATCTGAGCTCAATGTCTCTAAAAGTCCCATTTAAACTTATTTTATTGTTTACTATTTATTTTGCATCCTTCATCCATTTAACTAGTTACCACTTTCCAACTATTTAAATTACACATCTGGCCACAAAATGACAAGAGGTGACAAACACTCCAACCAGCTTCACATTACCCTGTTAAGCCCTGGGGCCTCATTTATAACGCCTTGCGTAGGATTGACGTAGGAAGGTTGCTTACGTAGTACAAAGCACAAAAATAGGTACATAAATGTTCCGCCATTTTCCGATTCACAAAACATTGCGTACCGGCGAGGGAAGTGCGTACGGCACTCCCTACGCCTGTTTCCCTTTATAAATCACAATCGACTCGTAACGCCCATATTTGCCTATACATAGTCAAAGAAACGCCCATTCATTCATTCATTCTGACTGACTGCATGAAGAAGATCGCAGGAAATTACGATAGAACAGCTAAAAAAGACATCTCGCACCGTGTCAGATTTTGGTTATTTTGGGGAGGTGGAGATAAATCATATTGTTTGGTGGATGCAGTTTGAACCAGAGTAGCAGCATGGAGGTCGGATCGTCACCAAAATAAATAAATAAGTGGTCCGAAAAAAGTTAATGACAAAAAAAATACACATAACCTTCCTCAGGCAGTGTGTTTGTACCGGGGACAGGAGACCCCCCCTTGATGAGAAACTAAGAAATGATCGGGGAATCCCTCCGGAGTGGAGTCATGACGACTGGATCTGAATTATTTTTGTTGTATTTGGTGGTTTGTGTTCCAGCTGTCGATCAGCAACTATATATCCATAATCCACCAGTTAAAGGAAATACAATGTGTTGTGTTATATTAGCTGTACAATTTACCATGGTGTTCTTAGTTTCCATACCTCCTGTGTTTTACGAGCGACTTATCAAGTCTTGGCAAACGGCATAAAACACGATTAAACGTGATAGTATATAAAACCATGCTCGTATCTACAACCTATAGAAATGCAAAACGGCGTCAGTTTAGACGTAATTCTGTCCTCCTGCTTACCGCATCATTTATGAGAAAACATTTCATAACATTAACACAACATATTCGAGGTGGTTTTAAATAGCATATCCGTATTTATTTATTTCTCCAAGTTATGTTTTTGTGTGCACTGAGGAGTCTCAAACAGGCGTTTGTTTAATCATTTTAAGATTGGCTTTAATCAATGTTTGAAAATGAATTCTTCATATTTGATAAATGAGAGGTAACATTTTATTTATGGTATTATTTCCACATATTTCTCTCCATTCTTCCTTCTGCCAACGGTGTCGCAGTTTCTCGTCTCTCCCGTTTTTGTGTGCTTAGTGCGTACGCATGGGTTAGAGTTTGCGTGGAGGACCGCACATTTTCCCGTCAAGTTAGTATTTTATAAATCGCAAACATTGCGTAGAAACTGGCGTACGCCATTTTTTGAGCGTATATCCCTTTATAAATGAGGCCCCAGAGCCTGTTTTTCAGGTCTCAGGCTCGAAAATGACATTCCCAGAACAAATGACCATATCTTCCCTTCTAAAAGGGTTACATTAATAATCTTTTTTCTCAAAGCAAGGTTACATCTGTGAGTTGGATGTAGAAGTGTCAGAATCAATATAGATTTTTTTTATTTTAAAGTAAATTCAGATTGAACACAGTAAAGAAATGTAAATTATAGCGTCCGTCCAAAGAATTACTTATAGTGAAAACCACCCTTGAATGATGGGATGGTAGACTAAAAGCTTTAGGAATCCAAACTACAACATATAATAAGTACCCTGTATCAAGATTGATGGAAAACAAGTGAAATTTGACCTTTTTAGAGAGATTTAGCACAAACCCCCACTTCTGGGGTCATTTGGGTGGAATTTCCATATCTCTGGCCCCCCTTGGTCGATTTTGATGATTGACATCTCCTTTTAACCGCTAGAGCCAATGGAATCGAGGGGAACTCCCACATACACACACACGTTACCAAATAAGGAGTGAGAGTGACGCGTAGCCAAAACCGGAAGCTGCGATAACTCTGGTGGCTACCATTAGTAGCTAATTTGTATTCTCCGATTTTTACTTAAAATGGAATTATGGATTATAAATAATTTTTTCAAAGTGACAGACACATTGGATTAACCTATGGATTAACCCTCAGCAGCGTTTGTATCGTGTTAATGCCATTGAACACGACTTTTGATCAGAATAACAGCTAAGGTGAGACGATGTCCCGTTTTTGCTCCGTAATGCTACGTGTTGTGATGTCTGTGTTTGCTTCCCCTGTCATGAGTTCTGATCGCTCAGTGATGATACTATACCTATATAATCTGTGGAGTCTCAGCATTAATCGGATATCTTGTATGTGCAGTTACGATAAGTAATAAGGGTATCTTTATCTTGAGTTCTGTGCCAAGTGGGTTAGCATTTTTTCGCTCAGGGGTCATTTAGATGCTTCTTATGAGACTTGTGTTTTGTTTTGGTAAAAATGGTTCGTATCGTCAGTTAGCTGAGATTCTTCCCGTTAATCTGGTACTACACATTAATAGGTTTTTAAATATTAAGATGCCCTGAGACACAGTTTTGTGAAAAAACACCCCGCAGCCCACTCCACTGCTCTCGGGCCCCAGTGTGAACTTGAACAAGACATTTTTGGAGGGAAGCAGAAAGTAGCAGTTCCCGGCACCAGTATGAAAGCGTCGAGCAGCATTTCCCCTCCTTTCTGACAGTGAACGTTTTAACCTGTTATGGCTCTTACATTTTAAAGAGTATATGTGACCCGCTGTATCGAAATCAGTCGGAAGTCGCAACGGCTCATTTCAAAATAAACGTTGCTATGCGTAAAAAACGAGTTTTTCGGAGTTCGGGTGTTTTGTTTGATTTTAAATGATCAAAGGCTTTCAGAATATGAAACTTTTATTTCCCAAATCACTCGATAAATACATTTTTGAAGCTTGTAAAGGGAAGATGGCACCTCTCACTCGCACTCTGCTCTTCCGCAGCGC